ATAGAACCAATTAACATTGATTGAACAAACTTTTAAACTCACTAATTTTCGATTATAATAAAAATTAACAACTCGAAAACTTTCAGTTTTGAAAGTTTTCGATCTATAAGTTCGTGTACAGTGTAGATGAACAGAAATCATCATTCATTGAAAAAATATTCTCTTCGCATGGTAAAAGGATACTTTTTCGGTAATACCAGTTTTCCGAGAATAAATTACGTGAACGATGAGAGACTGCACTACTGAGGACTGTTCTTTACATTTTCTTTATAGTCGAGTTGTATTTTCCAATGGAACACACCGTGTATTAGTTAACCAAAACTTGCAAGGTTCTCGATTGCTTTATATGCATATGATGGGTAGTATGGTATTATCTGTTTCGGTTTTATGAAAGAGTATTTCGAATACCACGACAACAACGATTCTATGAAATAGATTTTTTATTACGGCAGTAATGTACCTTCTTTTGTCGGACTAGTGGGGTGTCGGAATATCGGGGCAACCCCAGTCGTAACAACAGAGAAGGTGTGTTTGAATAACAAACAAAAAGTTTCATGCTATATCAAATGTTCAAATTGAGGTGCATTTCATCTATTTTATTGATTTTTCAAGTAAAAATTTAGGTATATATTTATTATTTTATTCATTAGATGTATCAAAAAAGAAGAAAAGTCGTCACACCGTTCGCTAACACCGCCTTAAAATTTTACTGAAAGCCCTTGACGTCAGTCTTTACTTTTGGGTCTTTTATTTATGCATAACTTCCAAAAAAATGTGTGTGTGTTATCTAGGTTATTTAGTCTTCAACATCTGAAAATTTTTAGTCTTTCCACGAAATATTTCCGCGAAATATTTAATTAGAGTTAATTTTCGAAAATCCCCCCTGACAACCGACCAAACAATAGTTTTAAGTTGACAAAAAGCCTAAAACTACATTAGGGAGCACCCATTTAACTTCAAGGAGGGGGGGGGGGTATGGGTTTTTGTCTGAGTCAGAAAAAATTATCGCGATAAATTTTATTTAGTTTTCCAACGCTATCAAACAAATTATTTTTTTTTCAATATTTAATACTATAAGGTATGGGCAAAATCGGAATTCAGAATATTTTTTTTTGTCATTTGCTTGACCAGAATAATTTTTTTTTTTCGTCAAATTGGGGATCAGAATATTTTTTTCCCTTAAATGACGCTTCGTAGCTAGTAGATACATTTGTCTTTTAAAATACAATTGCCATGTAAGGATCGTAATGATCCTATGTAAATAAATTTATCGGTTTTCATGAGCTAAATTGACGGCGTGTTATCCCTATAATGGCTTCCATGATTGAAAAAAATAGATAGCGTAATGATGAGATAATGTTGGCAAAGTAGAATCCTGACTGCTAACACAGCTGTGAGATCTATATTAATAAGAAGATGTGGTATGAGTGCCAATGAGACAACTCTCCATCCAAGTCACAATGTATAAAAAGTTAACAATTATAGGTCAAAGTACGGACTTCAACACGGAGCCTTGGCTAACACCGAACAGCAAGCTATAAAGGGCCCCAAAATGACTAGTGTAAAACAATTCAAACAGGAAAACCAACGGTGTAGACTAATCTATATAAAAAACGAGAAACACCTATGAACCACACCAACAAACGACAACCACTGAATAACAGGCTCCTGACTTAGGACAGGTGCATAACAATGCAGCGGGTTTAAACGTTTTAACAGGCGCCAACCTTCACCCTAACCTGAGACAGTAGTGTAACATTACAACATAAAAAGGAACATATACTGTTCTGAAATTCAAAGAAAATGTGTCTAAGAATTCAGAATTGAGTCTCGCAAACAGGATAAAGTAATCGGATATGGTAAAAAAAACGTCACTTGCATCTTTCAACATAAATAAATACGGCATATTATTTATACAAGCGCTCACACACTAAAATGTATCGACTAGATAATTCCCGCGACACGCAGTAAAACGGGAATTTATTGTCTTCTCGGTAAAGTATTTCCGATCGAGGCGTAATATGCATTTTTTGCGCCAAAAATTATAGTGGTAAATAGGTAGTTAAATGATTATTACTTCAAATCTTGCTTTCGTACTGTGTACATTAAATTTTTCATCAGCATGAAGAATGTTCAATTTGGCAATTTTAAATTTGTTTTATAGCCGTAGTCTTAGGACTAAACTCTTTGTATTCAAATTGTTAGCAATATTCAGCATTCCTTATGTATTTACATTTTTTAAGTGAGATCCTACACTTTAGTTTCGCTTGGCAATGACAAAAGGACGCAGGTTTTCGAATTAGATTTTTCCTGATCGACCACGAAACAGTATTTTGTGTTTTTTGGATATTGAAATTTTGAGAGATGATAGCAAATAGTACTTTGTATATATGTTATGTCGTTATTGCTGTATATTGTAATAAAAGCGGCAGCTCAGAAAAGATACAAGCTAGTCAGCAAACTTAAGTTTGTAGTTGAGTTATTTATTTACATAATAAGCTATAGAAAAAAATGAAAACAAAACGTTATAAATTGCATGTGTCCGAAGCGATTTTCTAAATTTACCTTCATCAGGAACGCTAAAAGCCGAATATCTGAAAGCCAAGGATGCATAAGAACCGAAACAATTGAAGATATTTATAACCAAAAAGACATAAAAACAATAGCGAAATCCATCTAAGGTCAACTTTTCCTGAGGGAATTGAAACCCTAGTTCGGAATTCTTCATAATTAAAAAAATGGTTCATTCCTCCTATTCCCACTTTTTATAAATCTGGTAAGAAAAGTTAAAATTTCATGTGGGAATAGGAGGAAAACTTGTACAAACAAAGGATTATACTGTATAAACATTGTTCAATCAACTTTTAATTGACTAGTGTTTTTTATGATAGGTAATAGGTTATTTTTGTATGTATATGAATTCTGTGTTTCTAATTTAAATAAATATGAAAGAAATGGAAACAAATATAGTTAATTATTTTATTTCTTTCATAACACAAATTATGAGGCTGCATTTTTATTAATCTGTTGAACGTAAATAGGTGAAAGGCTGCATCACCAAACTGTACTGTTGTGACTTCCTCATTGAAATTTTGAAAAATACCCTTGGACAGGAGTAAAATGTATATTTACCACACTAGTTTATGATATCTGCTACTGCTAATGAGTTAGATTCTTTTGAGTTCTGAAGATTATTACACACCAAACTATGTTGTCGTCTGTTAGCAAGAATGGGTAAAACCGGTAGGTTCGTTTTGCGTTTTATGTACATGGAAATCTTGCAAGATGGGAAAGTTTGTTTTTATATTATCTATCATTAATTTATGTGTTCAGATGAAAAAATTTGAGGTTTACAAATTCAATGATTTTTTAATCGTATATTACTTCTGTTTATCTGACTTATTCTTTATTATAAGGTAATTCTTTGAAGAAGAAAAAAACCTTTTACAAATAAACAGTGAAAATTAAAATGTAGCCCAACATCCACATATTCCAAATCCTTATGTAATTCATATCAGACATTACTCCACCTGATTAAGGAATAAAAATACTTCATTCCTGGTGATATTTTAATATATTCTAGAAAATCACTAGAACTGACTGGATAAATTTATATAATAATTATTGCTTGCATCAATTTTAGTTTTTTTTTTAAATAATATACTTAAACAGTGTAAGAAATATGTTTCCTTTTAAAAAATACAGGTAAATCTTGGGTGATTTTTAATTAACCTTGATTGTTATAAAAACAAATTATTTATCAAAACATCTATTGTTATTTGCATGTGGGAATAGAAGGAATAGTGATTTTTAAAAAGTGGGAATAGGAGGAAGACACCAAAAAAATTATAAACGGACAATTTAAGAACGGTTTGTTATAAATCATGTTAGTATATAAGTACTGCCTACTGAGCTGATAATATCCCCGGGGACTGATAGTCCAACAGCAGAGGTATCGACCCAGTGCTGTAAAAAATGAAAACAACACGTTATAAATTTCATGCGTCCGAAGCGATTTTCGGGATTTACCTTCATCAGGAACGCTCAAAGATGCCAAGGATGCCAAGGATGTACAAGAACCAAAACAGTTGAAGAGCTATATAACCAAAAGACCTTAAAACATTGCTATAGAATAGTCTTAGGTTTAAATGTACATACGTATAGAGAATACTGCTTTATGATCATGATTGAAACTCTTTAAGATAAAGCTGTAACTTTAATATATATCACATAAACATAACATGGTCTCATGAACCATGAAAAAAAGTCAAGATCAGATGAAAACTGCTAGACGGACATGTACACCTTACAATCATTAAATAAAAAAAATCATCTGATCTTTTGCTTATAGTAAATGAGAAACAAATCGAACCACAAACGCTTATCATTGAACAATGAACCATGAAAATAAAATTAAGGTCAGATGAAAAGAAACTTAGTTACCTAAGAGATCTGCAAGAAAGGAATGATCTATTCAGATCTTCTCACTTCTGAAATATGAATCATTATACAAATAGTTCGAGCCGAAGCAGAATTAGCATCCTTTGTTCTCGCATTCTGGAGTTTGAGCGCATGATATATTGTATGTTCAGCTGTCTGATGTTGAAGGTAGAATATTACTTTATAGAAGACTCTTGGCTGTTTTTGTCGTTAGATTGCTGTCTCATTGACTTAATTCTAACAAACGCATGAATAAAGTGGTCTTTTCGTCTAAATTCTTGAAATTGAAATATAGAGAATCAAAGCGGAAAAAAAGTTAAAGAGAGGGGAAGGATACCAAAGGGCTATTCAAACTCACAAGTCGAAAAAAAAAACTGACAACGTCATGGCTAAAAAAGAAAAAGACAAACAATCAAACAACAGTACACAAAACACAACATAGAAAACCAAAGAATGAGCAACACGAACCCCACCAAAAACTGGGGGTGATCTCAGGTGTTCCGGATGGGTAACACTCTAATTTGTAACATAAATAATCACAAACAAATAAAAACAAGCTATGATTTACAGATTGATTTATTTCGTATGATTAACATAAAATGTATCAATGAACAGTTTATTCATCGTTATCTTCATCATCAAGATCCTCTTTGACCTCATAAGGTGCATGAACATTACGTCGTTTATCAAATTTGCACAGCGCCATGCAGTCTTTCTTGATCTTATTGCACTTCTTTTTGCAAGATTTGTCGCTGTGGCTTAAACAAAACTCCAACTTGCAGATTCTAACCTCATCATTACAAATCGTCTTACATTTACTGGCCCTCACTGTTGACACCATTGCAATGGCTATTACCAGGACCAATACGAGTGCTTTAGTCTGTAATGAGATGCATATATAATAATTCCATAATTCATTTTTGTTGTAAAGGTCCATATTTACATATGTAAAATAAGGAGATGAGGTATGATTAACAAGGAGACAACTATCCACCAGAGACCAAATATAATGTAGATGTTATGCATACATTCCACCAACCTATCGAGAAATGTACATTATTCCCCAAAAAAACCAGCCCTGTTTAGAACCTTATTCAAAGACATTGTGTTACTAGTCTAACAGTAACGTATGAATGTCTTTCCAAATATTACTGCTAAAATGAAAACATACAGCGCCACTGGACATTAAGCAAACAACAAACAATCATTCAAACATTATCATTATGATTCTAAAGATTTAAAGGCTGAAATTGTATGCTATGTTTAACCCCGCCATATTCAGTATGTTCCTGTCCCAAGGCAAGAACCTGTAATTCAGTGGTTGTCGTTTGTTACTGTATATCATATTTGATTTATGTTTTTTTTTGTACATAAATCAGGCCGTTAGTTTTCTCATTTGAATTGTTTTACATTTGTCATTTCGATATCTTCTATAGTTTACCATGCGGTATGGGTTTTACTCATTGTTGAAGGTTGTACGGTTACCTATAGTTTTTAACTTCTATGTCTTTTTGTCTCTGGTGGAGATTTGTCTCATTAGCAATCATACTGCATCTTCTTATTTATATAATTACTTATTCATAAATTGATCTCAATATTTGTAATGACAATTAACAATAGTGGTAAAAATAGTTAATTTCTTTTTTTTTAAAGTCTATATATTGGAATTGAGGTACAATGTACACCAGGAAATTTCACTCGCGTGAAATTCACGTGAATCTAGATTCATGTGATTCTCACGTGAATTTCACATCAAACGAGCTTATACGTGAAACTCGCATGAACTGATTTCACATGAAACCCACATGAATTCCACGTGAAAATCACATGGATATTTTTCACGTTAATTTCACTTGAATTTATCAAAATTAAGTTATTCAAATAATATCTAAACTTTCAAATTTGATTAAAAACATGAAAAAAATACTAATGTTTACGTGAAATTCACGTGAAATATTTTACGTGAGATTCCTGTGAAATTAATGTGAAAATTTTCACATGAATTTCACGTATAGGCTCGTTTGTGGTGAATTTCGTGTCAGATTCATGTGCAGTTCACGTGAGCAAAATTTGCCTGTGTAAGTGTAAGTTAACCGAGTGAAAGTCAACATGTGTATACAAATTAAATAACTAAACAAATAAATGCTTTAAAACCACTGACTACTTGAATATTCGGAAACTATCTCGTAACTTGAAAATAATTGTCTACTCGGAAACTTCCATACCAGTCATACAAGTCATATATACACTTTTTCTAAAACTGGACCGAAATTATTTTACTTTTCGAACATTCGTTTTTACTGAACAATTGTTTTTAGTTGTTAGAAATTAAAAATGTCCTTACAAAACCCGGGCGTTTTTATTTGTACAAATTGAATATCGATTGTAATTACTGTCAGCCTCTCTTTGAAATAAAGATAATATACGATTGATTGTCATTTGCTGAAAGCGGTATTTTGATTTTTAATGAGATTTGTTATACATTTAAAACTCGTTGAACTGCATCTGACTATCAAAGAAATTATGCAGACAGCACTTAAAATTTCTAAATGCATTCGAAATTTTAAAAAAAAATGTAATATACCGCCAAATTACGTATATATCTTGCCATATCATCCAACGATAAATATTACATGCATATGGATAAATTAATAATTTATGCAACAGGACGGATCCGAAAAATTGATTGACCAGAATACAGTTTCGTTTTATAAAGCAAGATGGAAAAGAAATGGTGTATTTGATATGACAGAAATTTCGCCCTGCTACAAAATGTACTGACCACTTATGGACCGCTCAAGGAGTTTTTGAACTATTTTTTAACGTGCATAAATCGTGACTTTCTTTCTACGCAAGGCAAAAAATAAAAAAGTTTTCAATAAATTTGGACGCGACTGCGTGCTTATACATACCGCCTAGATAAAATAGCGCCTCTCTTAAGCATATGTTTACTGCCAGAAGGAAAACATTATGGGTAGCTCATTGCTACACTCAAGTTAATTCTTTGGATTAAATAACATTATGGTACAACTTATTTGCTCAATAGACTATTTTCATATTACCGCTTTTTGACTCCGGATTATATAATTTGCGACAGGTAACCTAATCTGTGGTAGGACATCCTATACTCGGTCAAGTAAGAGCAACCACAAGAAGTAAAATCAAACATATAATTGGTGCAATTTGGTGGGAAAGATTACTGTTTCCGATGATTTTGTCGTGCATAGAAAAAATAAATCAGTAAATTTCCCCCCTAAATTGGACCGATTGTAAGCTTGATTTTACTTCTTTAAGTTGTCCGAGTACCAGGATGTCCAACCTCAGAGAAGGTAACCTGTCGAAAAATATAAACTCCGGAATAAAAAGTCGGTATTATGAAAAAAGTCAACATAGAGCAATCTTCAAAATATACGCTCGATTAACCTTCATCAAGAATGGTCGAGGTCAAAAGTTTATTAGGCAAACCACTAAAAAAATCGCATAAAACAAACTTTTGTATAAAAATAAGGAGATGTTGTGTGATAGCCAACGATACAACCACCCACCAGAGTTCAAACCACGAGCAATTATTGGCTCCGTACGGCCTTCAACAATGAGAAAAACCCATACCGCATAGTCAGCCATAAAAGGCCTCGACATAAAAAAAACCCTCTTAATATCATTGCTTCGTGTATGCACTTTAAGTTTTCAGCAATATGATGGCATATTTGTGATTATTTGACCAAATAATAAAAAAATAAGTGAGGCTTAAAACTGAAATTTTGATGTTTAACAAATTTCGAATATTAAAAAAAAAAAATCCCACAGAAATTAACAATAATACGCAGTTAATAATAATAAGACGATTTTATCGAATGATATTCATTCAGATTAAATATATCAAGTATATCAAGTATACACTAGTATAGCAAATTTAAGTGAAAAGAAACACACTAAGGTTAGACGGAAGGGGGTCTGTTTCTGTATTCTTAAATTTTTTAGGCCTTTATTCTCTTTTCTTTATTATTTTAATTGATTATTCTCTAAATATTAGCAGCCAGTATTTGAGTGTCGAGTTTTGAAATAACTATAAAAACAATTAAAAGTTAATAATTTAACTAATTCAAAACTTACCTGCATATTTTCTGTGTTGGGAAATAAACAACTGTATCTGTTTAAAATCGTAAATGAAACAGAATACATCGATATAGTTCATTTAAATATTTATACTTAAAACTGTAATACCTTCCAGAAATAATTAACTAATAAAGATAAATGATAGTGCATATATTCGTTAGACAGATGGTACTCTCCTCCTTGCGACATACGGGTATATAGACCAAACAGATAACAAAGGACAGGTGATTACTCGTTACACATATGGCGCAATCAGATTTTATTTCGTGGAACATATGATGTTCGGACCCTTGCATAACCAATTTGAACATGTGTATTTTAAATGAACATGTTGATATGAAATACATATTGAAATTCAACGTGACACCTACTTACAACCACAGATACTGTTATTGCTTGTTTTTTACATCTTCGTAAATTTTCACATCTTATATAGGTTTGAATGTATAATTATCGCCGTTATAAAGTCTTGTTGTGCCTAGGCGGCATACAGCAAGCACCAATCAATCAATAAAGTTATATTTTTATTTATTTTATTTTTTTTATCAATTTGAATTATATTAATTTCTCAATTGACTTTATTTATGTCGGAGTTGGATACAAATTCCCCCTTCACGTTTCATTTGAATGAAAGATTACAGGTTTTCATGGAAAGTGAAAATGAATAAAATCCGATATTCCTATTTGAGCCTTGGTTACCAGTTTGCGTACTGCTATACAACAGGATCGTTAACGTTATAATGAAGTTTAAAAAATAAATTAATTTTCAAACAAATATGATATTCATGTAAAAAATCCAGCAACTAATACAAACTGTACCTTTTCAACAGATTTTTATATTTTTTTTCATACACCACTGTCCCAAGTTAGGGGGAGGGTTGGGCAACCGCAAACAGGTTTAACCTCGCAACATTATGTATGTGCCTGTCCAAAGTCAGGAACCTGTAAATCTGTGGTTGTCGTTTGTTGCTGTATATTGTAATTGTTTTTCGTTCATTGTTTTGTACATAAGGGAGCTACCATTTGATTTTCATGGAGGGGGGGGGGGGGGGGGGGGGGGGGGGGTAGTGGGGCTAGGGTGAAATTTGAAAAAAAAACCAGGACAGGAGTTTTGAGTAAAAAACAAAGACAGGATGAGCAACATGCATGGCAAAAAAAGGGCAGGATGACAATTTATGTAAAAAAAGTCAGGATAAACTAATAAAAGAAAGGCAGGACCGAATAGAGTGAAAAATAAACAGGCAGGACAGAGATTACAATTAAAAAAAAATGCAGGACAACATTTTTCATCCTATCTCCCCACCCCATTAAAATCAAATGGTAACTCCCTAAATTAGGCCGTTATTTTTTCGTTTGAATTTGTCATTGCGGTGCCTTTTATAGCAGACTATGCACAATGGATGGGTTTTGCACAATGTTGAAGGACGTACGGTGACCTATAGTTGTTACCTTCTATGTAATTTGGTCTCTGGTGGAGTTTTGTCAAATAGGCAATTATAACACACCTTCTTACTTTTATTGTTACAAAAAAATGCCTAAAAAAATCAAAATGTGCAAGGAAATCGTATGCGGGGCATTACAAAATTTAAAGAAAACATATATAAAGAAATAAGAGTTTTTATACAAAACGTTTTTAATTATTTGCTAATTTTGAAATATAACAGTCCAGCAACCGATATTAGAGTGAAAGCGACCAATTATTTATCAGGAAGTTCAATATTTTGAGTTTGCTTTCAGTATCTTGGATCATTCTTTTTTGTTGTTTTTTTTTGTTATCTATCTAACGTTCTGGATTTTTTTTAAGAGTAAAGTGGTTTTGCTTTTCTGAGATTTTTGACGTCTGGATTTTTGAAATAACAGAGTTTGAACAGTTGTAGGCATAAGATAAACAGAACATGAATAATAGAAAAAAAAAAAAAAAACAAAAAAAACGGAAATACACAAAGAAAAACGAATGTTATCTTTAGGATTAACCAACATGAACTTGAATCCAAACATAGTACTGGTGTACTTAACATAATTATTAGTTAGGTTAGTCACTTATCTTATTTTTAAATAACCTTTAAGTACGAGTGAAATGACAAGTTAATATTTTGGAATAACCCAATGAATACATCATAATTTATACAGTACTGTTCAACTGAACACCAAAAGGTTTGTAGTTATCAATTGATTGCAATCTACATACATGTATTTACAGTGACCATAGGCTGAATTCTAAAATCTTTCATCGTATCTCGTTGCCACGTGTAAAATGTAATAACATAAATTTAATCACATTTTAATATTTTCTAACAAAAATACCAGATAATGTTTTAAATACGTGAACGCCATATTGTCTTTGCGATGGAGTAATTTACTCAACAAAATATGGAAAAAATTTCTGAACAATAAGACTACGTCGTCAACATCTGAAACTGTTGGGAAAAATATTATTTTCTGTTTATCGAAGCAGTCTTCGGATTAGGATGTGTCCTAAGACCAACTTAGGACATATCTTAATCCTAAGTGGGTTTATCAAACATGTCGTAACTTAGGAAAATCCTAGGAATTGTCCTAACTTTCGGATACCAAATTAGGTGTCTTAAGATGGTCTTCGGGTGGTCCTAACTTTAGGATATATTTAGGATGGTTGTTTTATAAACAAATATGGCCTGTATTGGTTGCATTTACTTCAGGGAACTACCATTTTATTTTTATGACGGGGTGGGTTGAGTGAGGGGGGGGGGGGGGGGGGGGGGGTGCCTAGGATGAAAAATGTTGTTCTGCTTTTTTTTGTTGTTGTTGTAATCTCTGTCCTTCCTTTTTATTTTTCACTCTATTCGGTCCTGCCTTTTTTTTTATTAGTTTATCCTGACTTTTTTTTACATACATGTAAATTGTCATCCTGCATTTTTTTGCAAAGTTCCTCATCCTGCATTTTTTTTTACTTCCAAACACCTGTCCTGCCTTTATTTTATTAGTTTATCCTGACGTTTTTTAACATAAATTGTCATCTTGCTTTTTTTTTTTTTGCCAAGTTGCTCATCCTGCCTTTTTTTTACTCCGAACTCCTGTTCTGCCTTTTTTTCAAATTTAAACCTAGCCCCCTCCCCCCCCCCCCCCCCATAAAAATCAAATGGTAGTTCCCTTAATACATATCCCTATCCCTCTTTTCAGCACCATTTGTTGCAACATTTGACAATTTACCAAAAAGCAACGTGTTACTCTTGTCCATGTCGTCCAGGAGAATCTGTAGTTTTGCATCGGTAGAATTCGAATATCGTATCTTATATTCACACGTATCATCGCATGTTATTTGCAGTAATAAAATAGTTGAAGTACTCAGTATTTATATGAAAGATGCACGAGATTTGAACTTTTAAGTATGAAACTGTGCGCTTCGAATTCAGCTCACTCAAAGCATATAATGATTTTACCGATTCTATATTTTATTTTAACTATTTACAATTCGTTTGTTTATAAAACGTAGTTATATTTTTTGTCTTATGTTTTGTTTTATGAGTTTGAATGTACAATTAATTTATAATATAAAAGGTATTTATCACCTTTAATTTAAAACTAATAATTATTTCCTAATTATTTATCTTATTTTTTTAAATTATAGTTATTGGTTAAATTTGATACAATATTTTCATTTTTTTCATTTTAATTTGTTATTTTCTTTAACGCCAATTCTTAGGACAGCGATTAGGACATCCTAGCTAAGATGATCCTAAGATAGCTTCGATGTGCATGCTGAGACATGTCGTAAGTCGGTCCTAACTTTATCCTAATTTCTGTTCTAAGAAATTCTTAGGACCTATCTTAGGACAGTTTCGATAAACAGGCCCATTTGATACACCAAGGAAATATTTCACTTGCTGAACCTTACATTGGATTAAACTTAAACTTGCTATACATTATGTAAGGGGACCACCATTTGATTGTCTGTTGGGAGGGGGAGGAGGATCTTGAAAATAAATAACCTGGGGCCTGTTTATCGTAAGTGTCCTAAGATCGGTCCTTAGAATTTCTTAGGACAGAAATTAGGATAAAGTTAGGACCGACTTACGACATGTCTCAGCATGCACATCGAAGCTATCTTAGGATTATCTTAGCTAGGATGTCCTAATCGCTGTCCTAAGTATTGGCGTAAAAGAAAATAGCAAATAAAAAATGAAAAAAAATAAAATACTGTATCAAATTTAACCAATAATTATAATTTTTAAAAGATTATTAATTAGAAAATAATTATTAGTTTTAAATTAAAGGTAATAAATGTGTATTAATAATTGTACATTTAAACTCTATGAGACAAAACATAGGACAAAAAATTATAGCTACGTTTTATATAAAAATTGAACAAAATAATTGTAAATAGTTAAAACTAGATATATAATCGGTAAAAATCATTATATATTTTGAATGAGTTGAATTCGAAGTGTCACGGTTTCATACTTTAAAAAGTTCAAAGGCAAATCTCGTGCATCTTTCATATAAATACGGAGTACTTCAACTATTTTATTACAGGCTGAAATAAAATACGTGTGAATATGAGCAAGAGACGAAATCCGAATTTTACCGATGCAGAACTACAGACTCTCCTTGACGAAGTGGTAAAGAGTAAAACTTTGCATTTTAGTAAACTTTCAAATGTTGCAACCAATGATGCAAAAAAGAGGGCTTGGGACTTAATATGCAGTAAAGTTAATGCAACCAGCACAGACCACAAAAGAACCGTGGATGAAATTAGAAAGAAATGGAGCACGTACACGAGTAATGCTAAAAAGCAGGCTGCCCGAATACGAAGAGAATCCAGGAAGACTAGCGTTTGACCGCCTCTTGAAGAGCTGACTCCCTTTCAGGATAAAGTTTTAGGAATTATAGGCAACACCCCCATAGATGGAATAGAAGGTGGGATTGACACGTGTCCTAGCGTTGAAGAACTCACCCAGACAAGAGATTCTGACTCTTCAAATGAAAATGGTAATCTTATTTTATAACATAGAAAAAGTTATGAAAGTAAAAATAAAGAACGTACATACTTTTATGTAGTACATTACATATTATATCTGTACATTGCATGAAAT